AGACTGGCTCTTCTCTCAGGAGCCACAGTGAGTAAATCAAACTTCCAACCTCTGGCTCTGTGGGCAAATACCTAAACCAGTGAGCTATCCAGCCAGCTACCCCTTTTGAACATGTCCTTATTTCTTTGTATACTTTATTATCTATTTTTCTTCATGAAATAATGACTTCAGTTATGAAAATAACACTAATAATATGTAATAATGCCATGCTGTCGGCCTACAATAAAACATCAGAAATGGGAGAAGCCATCTATACAAAGAAAAAACAGCGATGCAATCTGAACCAATTATCTGTGGGAAAAAGAATAGAGTTAAAATTAACACATGAAAAAAGGAGGTTGCTAGCCCCACACTCCTCCATCACAATTTCCCCTACATGACAATCTGAAGAATATATTTTTTAATGCAGTTAAGAACCCTACATGTGTCAACCATATGTAAGAGGGAAGTAAAATCCCTCAGCTAAGGACATTACTTCTTGCCATTGTTACATATCGGATCCATCAGAAGTATAGCACCATGAGGAAGACATGACCACTGGATCCTAATATGACACATACATAAAGGGATTATTTTGAATATTTAATATAATAAATACACGAATACTTTAATGAACTGCTGTATCATTCAGTGGTTTAATATGTGGAGCCAGAGGTTTGGAGTTTGATTCCCTATTGTGCTTCCCTGCCACCAAATCTAGTTCCTTAAATCTGTTCTTCACTTCCATTGTGTACTCATAAGGGATTTGGTTTAGATTATACTTGACTAGCCCTGTGGTTTTTCCTACTTTCTTCAGTTTAAGCTTGAGTTTTCCTATAAGAAGCTAGTGATCAGAGCCAGAATCATCTCCAGGTCTTGTTTTTGCTGACTGTATAGAGCTTCTCCATCTTTTGCTGCAGAGAATAAAATCAATCTGATTATGGTATCGACCATCTGGTGATGTCCATGTGTAGAGTCGCCTCTTGTGTTGTTGGAAAAGGGTATTTGTGATGACCAGCTTCTTCTCTTGACAGAATTCTATTAGCCTTTGCCCTGCTTTGTTTTGAACTCCAAGGTCAAACTTTCCTGTTGTTTCTTTTATCTCTTGACTCCCTACTTTAACATTCCAGTCCCCTATAACTAGAAGAACATCTTTCTTTGGTGTTAGTTCTAGAAGGTGTTTCATGTCTAGAATTGGCCAGTTTCAGCCTCTTCTGCATCGGTGGTTGGTGCATAAACATGGATTACAGTACGGTGGTGTTGAAAGGTCTACCTCGGATTCTTATTGAAATCATACTATCATTTGGCCACAAGAAGGCAGCAATCCTTGAAGGGGGTTGAAATGTTTAGCAAAATACAAATTTTAAACAACTATTCATTTTTATAGTTGTGGCTATTTTTGAATGGTGGTCAGGGAAATTGACAGATATTGTTCAGGGAAAGTCAGTGAAATGAAAAATAAATTTCCAGTGGCAACCCTGACTAAGCATGTTCTTTCTAGGAGAAGGAAGCCAAACCAGGCAATGCAAAACAGGAGAGTCAAGAAGCTTCCCAGCAGCAGGAGGAGGAGGAAGAGGACAGAGACAACGAGGCAGGCACCAAGAGGAGTGGCAACGAGGAGGAGGAGGAAGAAGATGGAGCATCTGAGTACTCTTCTGCAGATGAGAGCATCTTTGCAAAAACAGGTTAGATTCCCATGGACGCTGCTGGGGTTTTAGCTCACTGTGTCTGACCTGAAAAGAAATTGCAAATCCACAGGGCTGCCTGTAAAAAATGGTTCAGGGTGCAATAGCCCTATAAAAGGCGATTCCACACCAAATTAGAACTGCCAGATGAGTTTACCACAAAACGATAGTGGAACATTACGTGGATTAGCAGATGTGATTGCAGAAGAGCAGAGTAGTCCTATCAGTCATAAAAGAAATCCCCAGATCCAGGTGAAATAACACTTTTATTAAGCTGACCAGAGACATACAAATTTTGGGGATCTCCAACCACCTTTCTCAGACAAAATAAAAACGGTAACTTTCAAATCATGTCCCTTAAGTTCTAAAATTCTGAGGGGTTTTCCTATGTGGAAAAGTGGTGCAGGTGCAGAAGTAGTCAAACAGAATGTTTAGAGGCAGAAGAAATGCCTTCCTGACGAGAGGCTGCAGCCTTTGGTGCTCGTCTAGTTCAGAGGAGAAAGAGAATGGATTTATTTATTCATCATACTTATATCCTGCCCATCTAGTTGTTGACTACTCTGGGCAGCTTACAACAAGTAGAATAAAACAGTTAAACAGGGAAGGGGGTTTACAAAGTTGCACACAATGCAGAGCAGGTTTTTGGTTTGCTAGTTCTGGAAACCGACATTCTCCAGGAAAGCTGAATGATGGCAGGTAAGACTGGCCTTTACCGGCCCCAGAGGTGCTAACGGCCACCACCAAGGGTGGCTTTAAAAGCGGGTTGGAGACATTCAGGGAGGAAGAGGCTCTTGCCGGACGTGGGTGTCCCTTGCCTTCGAAGGCAGTATGTCTCTCTTTCGACACCTGTTGCTGAGAGGAGAGCCGGTGGGGGGAGGGGAGCTGTCCTGGACTCCTCCCTCTTTGGGGGCACCTGCTTGGCCACGATGGGAGAGCAGGATGCCAGACAATTGATTTTGTATCCCTTGTGGGACAACTTCGTCCTGATCAGCGGATCCAAAGCAGCTCACAGGGTTAAAACAAGTGACACTGTAAATTAGTAGCAGTAGTAGTACAGTGGTGCCCCGCATAGCGACGATAATCCGTTCCAGGAAAATCGTCACTATCCGGAATCGTCACTATACGGAACGAAAAACCCCATAGGAACGCATTAAACCCTGTTTAATGTGTTCCTATGGGGAAAAAACTCACCGCTATGCAGAAATCCTCCATCCGGCCGCCATTTTCACTGCCAGGTAAGCAAGGAAAGGGTGCGAAAATGCTGCGGGCGGCCATTTTGGAACCGCCGATCAGCTGTTTTTTAAACATCGCAATGCGAAAATCGGTAAGGGAAACGCTTACCGATCGTCGCAATGCAATATTTAGCCATTCAAAACATCGCAATGCGATCACTTTTGCGATTGCAAAATCTGCATCGCTATGCGGATTCGTCGTTAAACGGGGCGCTCGCTATGCGGGGCACCACTGTAGTTTGAAATATTAGTTCCCTGCCCTTCTCCTTAAAAAGGACCTAAGGTGGCTTGCATCATTAAAAGGCAATACTTAAAGTTAAAGCAGGAAGTCTACAAATACTAAAAAGGATCATACTGATACCACATTAAAGTACAGTAAACAAAGAAACACTAAAAGCACATTTATTTATTTTATTTATTTATATGCCGCCCATCTAGACATAGTCTACTCTGGGCGGCTCACAACATACAAATAGAAACAATTTAAAATATACACAATTTACATAGATAAAAACAGAGAAAATATTCAGAGCAGTAGAGCACAAGAACCCAATTAAAAATTCCAGTCAAGCAACCAGTCTTTAAGGGAAAGCTTACTGTTGAAAACAAGCATTCAAGGGTAATTCAAATTCCATTAATTAATTTAAAAGCATTTAAAACTTTTTTTAAAAAATCATAAATTTAATGTAATAAATAAAAGCATACAATCTGGATGTTGGAGATGCATAAAAGGAAAAGGGACCTACAGTATATACATATGTGGTGGACATGTGAAATAAGAAAGAATGAGCACTGGATTTTAAGGAAAACTGGATACAGTATTGAGATATTGCCAAGTATTGCCCTCCTGGATATAATTAAAAATGATCATTTAAAAAAGCCAGAAAGAGTTAGTTGTTATAATGGTTACAGTAGTAACATTAATATTCGCAAAGAATTGGAAAAGTGAAAAATTAATCTTGAAGATGTGTATAAAGAAATGTGGAACTTAGTGATTAATGATAAGTTAACACATGGAATGAAAATAAGAAGAGGAATGGTAAAGTCTAATGATTTCAAAGATGTAGGGAAGGGATGGTCACTCCCAAATTGGCCTTCTCAGCCACACTAGACATTATTCCAAGACCTCTATTCAGAGCATGTTACCATCGTCTATCTGAGACTGAAAGATGCCTACAAAAAAGGAACGTATATTTTGAGAACATCCTTTTGAAGGGGAAAGGCTATAGGGCAGCAGAAGAATCAATGTATTTTTGGAGAAAAACGGGGTGAAAAGTGGTACAAATTGATATTGTTGGTTACTGTACCTGGTCCCAAGGGTGAAGGTGGTGGCACGGGTGGGGAAATGTTTATTGTGTATTATGTGTAGTCACTACTGTGTTTTCGCTTTAGATTTATTTGTGTTATTTGTAATTTTCCTTTTATCAATAAAAACAAAAGTAAAAAATAAAAAATACATAGGAATCAACACCTCCCCCAGTATCCACGGTTTCTGTTATTAAGGGCTTGCCTAGAAAGGCAGGTCTTTAACTGTCGCTGGAAGGACAAGAGGGCAGAGGGACCCACCTTACCTTCCAAGGGAGAGCATTCCTCAAGGGGGAGCAGCCACAGGGAAGGCCTCCTCTCGGGCCCCCATCCAGCGTGCCTGCGATGGTAGGCGGGTCTGAGAGGAGGGCCTCCTCTGGAGACCTTAAGGGCTGGGGAGGGCCCCTGGGGGGAGAAATGGAGCTTCCGCTCTGGTTCAGGAAGACTCTGCTCACGGCTGTGCTGCTGCTGACCCCTCTTATGCCCCTCTTTTTACCCCAGTTTTGAAGCCTCTTTGGCCCGGTGTTTTCAAATCCCAGCTTTTAGAACGTCCCTGTATGTTTCTGTTAAAATCGGCCGTTCTCCTCTTGAATTGCATGCCTCGAGGCACCAAGGGACAATTTGTTCTGTTAGCGTTGTGTGGATCCCAGGCCATGGACATTCCCCCACGGTCTTGTGGCTTGAACGTTTGATGACCCCGTTTGATGTCTTTGCAGATACGCTGAAGGTCAAGCAACGGCGAAGACGGAAGCGAGGTGGAGAAGAGGTGAGCCTGTGTGGTTTGACTTGGGGGCCTGTTCCTCTCTGGTGGCGGCTTGTCTCTAAGTCACTGGAGGCAAGAGAGACTTATTCCATTTCTCAGGTAGTGGGTCTCTGGTCTGTTTTTTCGCTTCCTGATTTCTAGGAAGCGGAATCATTCTTTGAAGAGGACGCTTCGCAGTACGATGACAGCCTCTCCTTCCAGGACATGAATCTCTCTCGGCCCTTGCTGAAGGTACATAGTTGCTGCTTCCTCCCAGAGAAGGAATCTGAGGGGCTTGTTGTGGGTTTTTCGGGCTCTTTGGCTGAGACTGGCGAAACGTCAGGAAGAGCAACCTTCAGAACACAGCCAAAGAGCCCGAAAAACCCACAACAACCATTAGATCCCGGCCGTGAAGGCCTTCGCGAATACAAATCTGAGGGGCATTGTTCTGGGACTTCCCTGCATCTTATGGAGATCCATGGAAGACTCCAGGTCCCGACTGAGTTTGGTTGGGCTGCCATGTCTGAGAACTTTGGAAGTTACAGCAGTTGGAATGTTACCTTTGCATAGTTTGGAAAAAATGGCGACAGAGGCAATGAGGAGACTGTGGGCTTCTTGCTCTTGTACCTGGAAGGGCCTCAGAAGGACAGGCAGGCTCTGTTTGGGCTTGAGGTTGTTTGGCTAAAAGGCAGCTAGGAAGGCCCTGCCAGTAAAAGCAGGCACTTGTTGGAAGCGGGTGAGTGGCTGAAAACGCTGTGCTTAGCAGCAGTGGTCCTTCGCAGCTAGTCCGGATGCTGCAGGACTACTGAGGAGGGAGGGAAGCAGCGAGCTGGACCAACATGGGCTGTGGGCACAGATCAGCAGCATCAGCCTGGGCAAAAAAGTTAGCGGGTGCCCGGGGCCTGGCTGTCCCTGGGAGAGCAGAGCCTGAGGGTGAACCGTGGCTCTCGCTGCTGCTGCTGTTGCTGCTGCTGTGGAGGGACCGGGGAGCAGCCGCAAGGGGCTGAGAGCAAGCTGGGCGGCCACGTGACGGAACAGCACAGCCTCCTGGGTGCCTGCTGCGTCTGAGCTCCCCCTCTCAATGTGGGCTTCTTTGCTCTCTCTCTGGCGTGTCAACAGGCAATCAACGCAATGGGCTTCAAGCAGCCGACCCCGATCCAGAAGGCCTGCATCCCAGTGGGGCTGCTGGGGAAGGACATCTGTGCTTGTGCCGCCACGGGGACAGGTGCGTGCCAGAGGGAGGAGAGGCCGAGGAGGGTCGTGGATCTGGGCCCAGGCTTGGTCTTATTCTCAGGGTCTGCCTTCCAGGGAAGACGGCCGCCTTCATGCTGCCTGTTCTGGAGCGCCTGATCTACAAGCCACGCCAAGCGCCCGTGACCCGCGTGCTGGTCCTGGTGCCAACGCGGGAGCTGGGCATCCAGGTGCACTCGGTGACGAAGCAGCTGGCACAGTTCAGCAGCGTCACGTCCTGCCTGGCCGTGGGTGAGTGAGCCACGGGGGAGGGCTTTGTTGGGGAGGGGGCCAGTGAGAGGCGTTGGCTCTCTCTTGGAAAGCTCCCTCTGGTTGGTTGGTTGGTCTTCTTTTTCTTTGCTTGCTTGTTTTTTATTTGATGCCTTTCTCCCCGCAGGGGAGTCAAGACAGTTCACAACAATAAAAACTATTCAGTAATTACAGGTTTAAAAGCACCATAACAAGAAACATTCCTCAGTATTCGTTCGTTTAGTCGTGTCCGACTCTTCGTGACCCCATGGACCAGAGCACGCCAGGCCCTCCTATCTTCCACTGCCTCCCGGAGCTGGGTCAGATTCATGTTGGTTGCTTCGGTGACACTGTCCAACCATCTCATCCTCGGTTGTCCCCCTCAGTATTCAAACCACAGTTAAAAGAATTACTACAAACATGTTTTAAAAGCATTTTGAATTTTGTAAATTAAGTAACCGCGGTGTTCCTCGCTTATTGCTTAAAAGTCTGCCTGGAAAGGTGGGTCTTTGCCTGATGGAGGGACCAGAGGGAGGAGGCCCACCTGGCTTCCTGGGGCAATGCACCTGGGAGCGGCTGGTGAAGGGGCCTGCTCTGTCCATGGCTGCTCCCGCTGAGGTGATGGGAGCGCAAGGCAAAGAGAAATGACGGCCGGGCCTTCTGGGAGCCGACGCCATCGGCGTGGTTTTCTGTCTTTGCAGGAGGGTTAGATCTGAAGACTCAGGAGGCGGCGCTCCGCTCGGGTCCCGACGTCCTCATCGCCACGCCAGGCCGCCTTATTGACCACCTGCACAACTGCCCCTCCTTCCACCTGGGTAGCATTGAGGTCCTGATCCTTGACGAGGCTGACCGGTGAGGGGCGCTTCTGGGCACCTGCCGCAGCACCGATCCTGACCTTCAGGGGACCTTTGGGCCAGCGGTCCCTGGGTTTTCCACCCGCTCACCTGTGGTCCTTTCTCCTCGCTCCAGGATGCTGGACGAGTACTTTGAAGAGCAGATGAAGGAGATCATCCGCCTGTGCACCCGCCATCGCCAGACGATGCTCTTCTCTGCCACGATGACTGAGGAGGTGTGGAGACAGGCTGCGACTGTGAGGGGTGTGGGTGGGGGCTGGAGGGGGACCCCTTTCGGGCACCTGCAGGGCCACCCTGCCCCACAGAGCTGATGCCTGCTCTTCTTCTTCTTCTTTGACAGGTGAAGGATTTGGCTTCAGTTTCCCTCAAGAACCCCATCCGGGTCTTTGTGAACAGTAACACGGATGTGGCCCCTTTTCTGCGCCAGGAGTTTATCCGCATCCGTCCCAACCGTGAGGGAGATCGGGAAGCCATTGTGGCAGGTGGGAGCATGGGAGGCACCCAACCCCTCGAGGCCAGAATCCTAGAATCGTGGCGTTGGGAGGGGCCTCGGAGACCATCCAGTCCAACCCCTCTCCCTTCACCGCCCCACCCCCGTTCAGGGCATGAATCCAAAGCAAAGCAGATCGGGCTGAGAGTTGCCCCGTCGTTGTCGTCTTCTCCCCCTGAGGTCATGGGTTCCTTTCTTGTACTGCTCTAGCTTCTAGGAAGCATTTCCCGATATTCAGCTGTGATTTTGTCTCCCTTTTCCAGCCTTGCTGACTCGGACGTTTCCAGACCACGTGATGCTCTTCACCCAGACCAAGAAGCAAGCCCATCGCCTGCACATCCTGCTGGGCCTTCTGGGCTTGCGGGTGGGTGAGCTTCACGGCAACCTCTCGCAGGCACAGCGCCTGGAGGCCCTCCGGTAAGCTGGACCTAGTGGCGGGAAAGCAGGGCCGGGCAGGGAGGAGCGCCTCCAGAGTTTCCCCTGGACGACACGTGCGGTCTCCCCCCTTGCAGGCGTTTCAAAGATGAGCAGATTGATGTCCTGGTGGCCACTGACGTCGCAGCACGAGGACTCGACATAGAAGGGGTCAAGACGGTCAGTGACCTCCTGAGCCACTTTTTCCTTTCTGTGGGCAGGGGTTTTGGCTACTCCCTTCCCCCCAACAGTCTGCCTCTGCTGTGCTTTTTAACAGGTGATCAACTTTACAATGCCCAACACAACAAAGCATTATGTCCATCGGGTGGGGCGCACGGCCCGGGCAGGTCGAGCCGGCCGTTCTGTGTCTCTGGTGGGCGAGGAAGAGCGCAAGATGCTGAAAGAAATCATCAAGGCAGCTAAAACCCCAGTCAAGGCCCGAGTCCTCCCCCAGGGTAATTGTGGTGGGGATGGTGGGAAGTCATGGGCAAGGAAGGGGGCCTCAGAGCAGCCCACCTTTTCAGCTCTTTTGCTGTGCGGATCCGGCAGGACTGAGAGGGTGCTTTTTCCATTTTCCCGCAGATGTGATCCTGCGTTTTCGGGAGAAGATTGAGAAATTGGAGCCAGATGTGTATGCTGTGCTACGCCTGGAGCAGGAGGAGCGGGCGTTGCAGCACTCAGAGGCCCAGGTGGAGGAAGGGGAGACAGGCAGGCAGGATGTGCTGGCTTATGGATTGGAAGGGTGCCTCTGTCCTCGAGGCAGGAGCCGGGAAGGCCTTTTTTGCTGCCTTTCGCTCTTTAAGCAGGAGGGCTACTCTC